ATATTGATCTTGCAAAGACTAAAGTGGCATAGTGACTACACCTTCTGATAAAAAAGAAGAGCTATCTAAAATCTTTGATCTCCACCTTGTGAACCCTTCCCGAGCAAGTTCTACAAGAGATTGCCATTTCCACTCACATTAGCATCTTTCTCACTATGGAAAGATAAAATAAAGATTGCTGCCTTTCTGTCTGTGTTACAAAACCAGTCAAGCACAATATCGCTCTCTTTCACAGAAAGGCAAAAATTCTAAGAGGAATCTAGAATTTGTAAATAAAGAGCTTCGCTATGAATTTTATTAGATATTGTTCCTAATTCAAACTTAGCTTCCTACTTCTTTTTTTCTTTTATTTGTGTGAAGCTGGTACAAACATGTGATTAGACTACTTAACAATCTAGATTAAAACAATTTACATTCTCATACACAGTCTTCCACTGTAATCCGATGAATGCAAAGTTGAAGCTTACAGTGCATAGACGTGGTTAATTGAAGGTAGAAATATAGTGTGTGTGCACATGGAAGGAAGTCAAAGACGAAATGCATATAATCAAAAGAAGAACATCTATATACACACGCATACAAATGGAAATGGAACAGAGGAGAGAGTATAAAGAGTATTACATGTGAGCTCTTTAGCAAAATTTCACACTTTTACTGTAGAATGATGGAAACAACCACAATCTCTGGCGGGTTGTTTTCTTTTAGTCAGAAATGAACGAAATGTCGAGAAGAGGGATATAAGGCTCCATCCTTGATGAGAAACGTAGAATGTTGAGAGAGATGAAGTGAGAAATTGAGAAGATGCGGGAAGACCAGCCATTACTTTCTGGGTTGTTATGAAGAGGGCGGACACGAGATGAACGGAGAGAGAGAAACACTTGGAGCAATGTAACAGACAAGGACCAAGACCAAGCGAGAGGAACCAAGAGAGACAAAAGAAAGCTGGCGAGCGAGAGGGGACGTCTACGGCAAGAAATAAATGTTGTTGCGGTCGGTTGCAGGCCTGACTTCAGCAGTCTTTTTCAATTACTCAAAAACCTTTTTCAACTGCCGCCTTTTTCTATCCCCCATTTTGTATAATAGTTGTAACTAAATACTCTTTTTTTCTTTTTCTTTTTTTAACATTTGTTTTCTCAACTGCAACCATTTAGATTTTTTGTATTTTTAATCTCTTCTTCTATTTATAATTTTCATGACTTATATAATTTTATTCTTATTATTACTATAGTTATTTATTTTATCATTGGGCCTACAACCTATTATCAAAAAATAAAAATAAAAAAAATTATGGTGACATATGTGAGCCATAAATCACGGAAATCTTATTAATATGAAATGTAATACTTTTATTAATGGGCCCAACCCACTAAAAACAATTATGATGACATGTGTGGGTAAATAAACATGGTTATGGGTGATGGTGACACATATTAATATGGAGTTTGATGCGTCGTGCATAATGACGTTGTTGTAGATTTACAATGCAAGACCAAGGGTTTCTAAATCATGGTGACGCTTTGTTACCATAAAATATGTGTCATATTAAATTTTTTGACAACAAACTTTGCCAAAACTTTGTTAAGAATTAACAATACTTAGCCAAGTTACGATGACCCATTTCATATCGTTTTATTTAGATATAACAGTACGTGTCTTTTTCTATTATTATATTGTGATATTATGTAAATATACTACATGCGTAAGTGTCATCATAAAACTTATATTTTTACTCTCTTTATTGATATTTTAGAGGTGTCAGCGTATGTTTTTCATTAGTAGAGATAATTTCTAAAAAAACATGTCAAAATATTTTTTTTATAAAAAAGGAGTTTTTAAAATTTTGTTTTTTTATATTAAATTCGTAATATACTTTGGTGTATAAGACAAATAAGCCTATTATTAATGCAATAAGACAATATAATTTCAAATAACATATTAAAATTAATATTGTTTTAACACAAATAAACGTTAATTATACATGTAAAAGTAGGTAAAAATTCATAAATCCTAAATGCTAGGTGGGGGGATTGTGATCTATCACGGGAATCAAGCATGCTGGAGTTGAGGGGGTTGTGTAGCCCAAATCATGAAAATTAGTATGATATTGACTTAGCTTCTGCTTGCACCCGTACCTCTAAGAAGTCCTTGTGAGCCAATCACTACTTGATGGTGGCCATTTGAGTCAATTGCACCTCCACAAAAGCCACCTAAGCCAGCTCCTGTTTCATGAATTTATGACGGCCACTACAGAGCACAAACTCTCAATCTCCTTCTCCAAATCCTCCCCCCCACCCCCCCCCCCCCCTCAACGCAGGGTCAGTTGTTGGGATTGTCAATATGGCATGATGGTAAGGTACGTGTTGAGGGCGCCAACATGTCCAGATCACTCTCTGCCTCTCCATTATATCGTCCTTTGTCAAGGCAGGCTCTTCTGATCCTTCTACTTGGATGGGGAACATTTGCTCCATCGATAGCTGCATAACATTATTAGTTGATACAAGATGATGTATACAAGAATTACATTAGAAATATAATTGTTATAGTATTTTTTGTAGACAAGTGATGCTTCCCACATCCGACTCAACTACTATGTTAACATACAATCCATCACTCCATCTCGCAGTGAGCAAGGTTTGAATCCAATTCAATTTCTTCCCTATCTTAGCCTCCTCCCACAAGTTTCATAGACACACAATAGAGACAGTTATAACATGATCTCATAAAATCAATAATAGTCGTGCCAAAATACATTATATATAAAATGAAATTCTCACCTCTTCCTACTCTTTGATCAGATTTATGACCCATGACATGTAGAAATTGATTAGAGGTACTAACTTTGTGTGCCTACTCCTCCAAAGCTTGTTCGAATCCAACAAACATATTAATAGCACATATTTAATCAACACAAAACATTTACATATAACTTTATCATTAAGTACATACAACTGTAATGGCATGCTTGAACTTCCTCACTCCCAACATAAGAGTGCTTGCCATGCTCTCACATCAACGGTGTAAATCTGATCTTGGATGCACGACCAATTGTCTATACGAGGCATGTAATGAAGAGTTTTGCGTGTGACTCCTGTACCTTCACTAGTACTCTTTTGCGTCCATCACGTATGGATAGTAAGAGGGAGGTAGGTTAATATGGGTTTACACATCACAAGGTTAGCATGTAATTAATAAACAAATAGAGATAAATGATAAATGTAATAAATGTTAATCATAATATTTGTTCAGTCTATCAAAGGTCATCCTTTTAGTGCTTAAATTAGATATAACTGTAGGTTAACTGTATTAGTGTTTGAAAGTATAAATGATATATTATAAAATTTAGGAGAATAAATAAAACAAAGGAAAGGTTCAAAAGGGAAAAATTATTTTTTCTCTATTTAATATTTTATAGATTAGCATACCATGGGCCCATTCGATTTGCGTACAAGGATATAATAAGATAAAGTAGTTATAGGATAAAACTATCCTACCCATATAATAACTAGATATTTATCTTATGTTTAGTTCAATTTTACTCACTAGAGATTAAAAAACCAGATAAAAAGCTAGATAGAAATAAAAATTACATTTTTACCCCCACTATGCTACCAAAGCCATCGGAAAGACTAGATGCTAGGATGTTAGAGGGAAGCATCATCGAGAATAGCAAAAACGAAGCATCGTCATGGGTGATGTTGTGGTTCTCATGATCTATTCCTGATGATCTAGCTTGTAATTGATTTGAAGGCAATAGGGATGTACCATCCTCATGAATTTGGCCTGTGATTTGTTCCTCTTCTATTCGATTGTGCAAACAATTTGTCCAACTACTGCACCAGGAAATGCAATCCAAACAAGAGAACAATGACTAGGGAATGTAGACCTAGAATGACAACCAACGATTAATGGTGAACGATGACCAATAGCTGACTAGGTTTGTAGAAGGAAATGCAATCCAAAAGGGGAACAATGACTAGGAAATGCAAATCTAGAACGATGACAAATGGCTGTTGGTTAACGTCGATCAATGATCAATGGCAAATGGCAACCGACAACCTACAACTACTATAGTGATCTGCCCTAGTGACTGGAATAGGGGAGTAATGTATTTTGATCATTTGAATTGTCCACACTAGGGGTAGTATTGTCTCAAGAAAAATCTTTAAACACTATTCAAGTAATAGATAGTTTATCTTACTTATCCCTATGATACAATTATCTCAACCTACCATGATAAAGTTGGATAAGGGGACTCGTCCAAATTTTTTATCTGATTTTGCCACAAAGATACCAAATATGAGATAAGAAAATATAAAGACAAAATAATTTTATTTTATGTTACATTTACCTTCCCTATCGAATGAACCCTATGTGTATAAATTAGAGGTATTCAAAACACATCCAAACTGATTGGACTAACCTAAGCCTAATTGAATTGATCAAAAACTAATTAAAATCTGCAAAATATTGGTTTAATTTAGTTTTTAGAACATTAAAATTGACCTATTTAGTTATCAATTTTTTTCAAAAATTAACCAAATCAAACCAAACTAAATAAATAAATAAATACACACACGTGCACGCACGTAGAGAGAGAGTTAACAGCAAAAACAAACCCTAACCTCTAGTATTTAAATTTTGTCATTGTCAAAATAAACAAGTAGTGGCTTATTATTTTGTAATATTTAATCTTTATATATTTGATTATATTTTATTATTAATTTTTATTAAATGAGTATAATTACATTAATATTATAAAAAAAATATTTTTCAAACGAAACGGATCAAATCGAAACCCCTATAATTGTATCTGATTTGATTTATTTTAAACAACCTATTCAATTGGATTTAAAGAATGTTCAGTATCAATCCAAATCCAACCGAAAATTTAAACACCCTGTGATAACACGAAAGGGGTAGAGGACGGAAAATTCAAAGACCTATTTAACAGACTATGCCTGACGCAGTTTTCAGTAACCTCTTTGAAAATAAAAAATAAACTATTCCTGGACCGTTGATGCGCCGGCAACGGCGTGCGAAGTGCTCCGCAAAATGAAAGGGTGCCCCAGTAATTGGCTGGCGGTCCATCTCTTGGGCGGATCTCTCTGCAAACAGCAAGAAATGAAGTCCCGAAAGTCCCTCGACGCAGTAACCGGCGGCGCCGGCGGCTCCCACATGCAGATTACAAATAAAATCCTGGCTACGTCATCCAGCCGCTCAATGCTGTCAATAAAAGGGTACCTACCCATATAGATTTGAAGAAGGCTCAATCCAAGTCCCCATATATCCCCACTGCAACCATCGTACATCCCCCAATTCAAATCAGTGTTGATTCTTTTAGGACTTAGGTAACCTATCATCGACAAACCCCACGGACCTGCCGTTTGAGTTATGATTCTAGACAACCCGAATTCAGTTAATTTTACCTCCTGCATCAGGGTATCGACCAGAAGGTTGGACGGTTTCACATCGCCATGGACAAATTTTCTCTCGTGAAAATAGGACAAGCCGGAGAGAATCTGACAGGCAAGGGTAGCAATTGACGTCTCCTCCGGTACGTGGACTCCTTCTAAGGACCCATCCATGTAGTCGAGGAGTATTTGGATCTCGCCACTGTCTGCTTTGTCGAGCACACCGTGGCACTTGATCACATTTGGATGGTCAAGACCGAAGACGATGCTCAATCGCCTGAGAATTTGACGGCGGATGTTTTCATTACCGCCGTAAGATACGACTTTTGAAGCATAGAAGTTGCCAGCATGGTGGAGGACTTTATAGAGGGGGTTGTTGCTTCCGTCGCTTCCGGTTCGGTTAAGTAGATGAACTTGGATCATGTTAATTCATCTCTTGAATAACATTTGGATCTTGGAGGAGAGATAATACTTAAATTTTTAGTTGCCATCTTGCAAATATATATATATATATAAATATAAAATAATAAAACATAAATAAATAAAATATATAATTAAGATAAAAAAAGAAAAAATCATCTCTAATATTTCATATTCTACATTTTTCAAATGATAATATAAGAAAATAAATACATGTAATATAACAAATTAATAACTCATGCATGCATATTTAGGTTTCAAATTTTAATAAATTGTGAATAACTTTTAACCTTAGCTTGAAAATTGCTAACCTTAGCTTGAAAATTGCTAAAAATAAATTTTACTAGAAGAAACATAACATAAAATAAATGCACAAGCAATAAGGTAGACAGCATTTAGAAGAAACCCTTGCTATGTTTGTGCTACTTCAGCAAGTGCAAGAATTTGACTGAAAACAAAAATTGAAAAGGTGGAATTGCCTATATTGGGGTTATTTTGGTAAATTAAGCGTCAAAAAATGCAGTCTATTGAAATTTTCTTTTGGGATTAGCAAAAGGGGAAAATCAGGAGCAGCAAGCTAGATCAAAAATAAAGCCTATTTTAGAATTTTCATGTTTTATATAATTTTAGATATTTGGTGAGCACATATTTGATCTACTATTTGAACTTCCATTGCCGAATCAAACAACTTTGTAAATTCTACATCCAAGGAAGCCATGCTTGACAATAGTTGAATTTTACACTAAAACACTGAAGAGCAATAATATACTGGGTAACCAATAATGTTAGAATTTCCCTTTCCATTTCTATTCAAAATATATGATTGAAGAGAAAGGGCAAGTAAAATCTACAAATGTTTAGGTTCCACCTTATATATCTCCTGAGCTTGGAAAATGCAAACAAGAATCAAGAACCCTTTCTTTTTTCTCTCGGAGATTTCCCTCCCTCTCTCTCTGCATTTTTTTTAACGTGGTGGGGGAACGAGGCCGGGGAGAGGGAGGAGTGGTGTATTCTTGATGATTTTGAGGATGGTGTTTCGTGAACTGTTGAGTAGACCAAATCTTGTGAACTAATTAATTATTAGTTTTTTTGGGTCTAATTTTCTTGCCTACTTTTTCCTTGGTCATAGACCCTTTTTTTTTTTTGACACACTTGTATTTTCATGTGAGTTGGCAGTGACTTGCATCCACGTAACTTATCGAATTTTCCATATGTACGGTTGTGCAAGCATTGATGACCATGAATTTTAGGAAATGTTTTGTGTTCTAATTTTTAAATTTAAGTATTTAACTTTTTAAATCAAATGTTTACAAATTAAATATTGTAAATATATAGTTTTAATTTTTAAAAATTTTTCTAACTAAAAAATTACAGTCATAAGCTTAAAAATTATGGGAGAAAACAAAATCTGATATGCCATAGGCAAATTCGTGGGCAACGCATATTCTGAGCAAAAGATATTAAGTAGGTGATTGGTATAGTATTAAGGTTATATGAAAAGAATCACTTTTTATGAGAACAAAATTTTGAAAGTAAAATCCAAAATTTTCATATTAAATTAATATTTATAGCTATATACTTTTTTTACTGAAATCCCAAAACCTGAACCGAAAGAGAGAAATCAGCAGCGGTCCGATCAAGAATCACTTCCCGATCACGTGCCTTCTCTTTGGATTCTCAGGGCGGTACATTTTGATTCCATTTTTAAGCACTCAACAACCAGGCAGCCAGCTATTTAATGGAACACGATGCTAGAACTGATATTACAAACAGAATGACAAAACTAAGCAGTACGTGTGAAGAAGGGAGGAGAATGGAGCTTACCGTCGGTGAAGGAAATAGCAACGTCACAGGCGGCACAAAGCACCGTAAACAGCACTGCTATCCTCAACATTGTGTTGTTTTTGCTATGATAGAGAGAGAGAAGGGTGCTGAGGTCGGATTGCAGATGGGAGCGTCGAGAGATATACGCTGCTACTAAGAGACCTGTCCCAGCTACGTCCGATCGGAGTCTTGGCGCTACTTAGACGACCTGTCCCAGCAATTCAGTGCCGGAATAGGAATGGAGGCACTGCCCAGTTTATCACCAATAATTCATCAATTAATAACAAAGTAACATAAATCTAACAACCCAAATTTTAAAAAGACGAAAGCTTTGAGACCCAGATTTATACCTCCGCAGAACTCCGATTCACATTTTTTACTGCACGCTTTACTCTGTAAAAACACCGAACAAAGAGAGAGTAATCAAAAGTGATGTGAAATAAAGAGAAGTGAATCAGTATGACTGTAAACTCGAATGTTGACAGAGGGAGAAGGAGACTGACCGTGGCCGGAGGGAGCGACAGATAGAGGATGACAACTGGCGAGAGATGGAGAAGGCTCCGTCACCATTGCTCAGCCGAGCACAAACCTAGCTACCACGGCTGACTTCTTTCGACTAATCCCTCCCCTGCAATTCCCTCTCTCCTTCAACTCTTTCCTGTCATGGACCATCCTCCTAAACCCACTCACAACCGGGACTTGGGTTAAAGGAAAAGTTTCTGGAGAAGAGAGAGAGGGAGGTGGGAAAAAAGAGAGAGAAATGAAAAAGTTTAAAAATTTTAGAGAGGGAGAAAGGGAGGGAAACATGGGGCGTGTTCTGAGTTTGACAAAGGGGATGTTGGGCAATAAAAGGTAATGAAAGCCTTAGAGTAATGGTGGTGATAAATTAATGGGTGTTAAAAGAAGTAAATACTACGTGGGTGTTAAAAAAATTGAAATTAAAATTGATGATTAAATTTTTTAAAAAGTTAAAAATTAAAAATTAAATATATATATATATATATATCTTTATCCGTGGGTAGTTGCTGCAGTTTTGACTTCTCGATTATTTAAAAAAATGTTAAAAATCAATTCAAGTGAAACAGAATTTTTAATTTAAAAAAATATAAAAAATAAGTTAAGAAGTCAGTTTCAATTATTTAATTTTTTTAAAATAAGAATTATACCTTGAGAAGTCGTTCCAGAAGAACTGATTCTCAAGGTCAGTAATTTACTTTTTATATATATTTTTAATTTCATAAAAATATATAAATATAATTTATAAATAAATTATAAATAAAAAAATTAAAATTATAAAATACAAAATAAAATCATATTAATATTTTATATTTATATGTTTTATAGTTTAAATTTTTATTTTTATATATCACAAGTACAATTTATTTAAATTTATCTCTAAATTATATTTTATATTGGAAGTTTTGTAAAATATAAAAAATAAAAAAATATAATTTATAAATAAATTAAATTAAGTTAAAAACCTTGAGAAGTAAAAAGGCGTAAAAAAGATATTTGGTTTTTAAAAATATTAAGTTAATATTTGGATAAATCTTATATTAGTCTCTTAAATTTAAATTAAGTGTTTTATTAATCCCCCAAATTAAAAATGTGACATTTCTATCACTCAAGTTTAACACAAGTTTTAGGATAATCCTTAAATCAATTTCTAACTAATTTTTAGCCACTTTAAGTTAAGATTCAGTGTATATTTAGTAAGAATAATTTTGTCGTAAAAAATAGAAAGAGATTAACAATTGTAATACAAAATTTAAATTCTCAAATACTATAGAAGAAAAAACAATTTCACCTCTAAGACTTATGTGAATAGCTTATGGTCCTCGCTAGTTCAATCTTAACTCCAACAAGCTAATACACCAATACTGCTTACTTTTTATATTCTTTATAATTTTAATTAAATCCTTTAGAACTTTTCAAAATTTTTTAAAATTGACTTATTGTATAATTAGATAATTAAATCAAATTTGAATGCAAATGTCTATAATTGCTTTAGACTTTAAATTGGACATTGTAAATTAACTCACAAGTTTGAGGAATTGTGCACATAACCAATTATGCATCTTAAGTGCAAGCTATAAGACTGTTTTGTTCTGAAATTGTGGACCAATATATAGCCAATAATTCTTTATTTGATGAATTATTAATGAAAAATAATATTGTCACTAAATTAGTAATAGAAAATACATTCCATCATTAAATTAGCAACGAATTACCAACGGAATGCATGGTTCTGTCACTAAATCAGCAACAGATTACCGACGAAACTTGTGTTCGTCGCTAAATTAGCAACGGATTGGTGGTCCATCGCTAATATAGCGATGGATTTAGCAACAAATTTGTTATCCGTCGCTAAATTAGCGACGTATTTACCGACGTACACCAATCCGTTGGTAAATTAGCGACGGATTTACCGACAAATTGGTATTCCGTCGTTAAATTAGCGACGAATTTACCAATGAACCCCAATCCACCACTAAATTAGCGACAAATTTACCGACGGATTGGTGGTCTGTCACTATTTTAGTGACGGATTAGTGCTCGGTTATGTCCATCACTGAATCAGCGACGGATTACCAACAGACCAGTGTCCATCGCTGAATTAGCGACGGATTGCAGTCCATCGCTAATTCAGTGACTGAATGCAGTTTGTCGCTGATTTAGCGACGGATTTAGCGACGGATTCCAGTTTGTTGCTAATTTAGCAACAGATTTAGCGACAAAATGCAGTTTGTCGCTGATTTAGCAACGGATTCTAGTCCATCGCTGATTTAGCGACGGATTCCAGTCCGTCGCTGATTTAACGACAAATTTAGCGATGGATTGGTAATCAGTCGCTATTCCGTAGCTAATCTGTTGCTGATCCGTCACTAAATTAGCGACGGACCATTCCGTCACTGATTTTCTGTCACTAAAGCCTTGTTTTCTTGTAGTGTAAGTGTTTCCAAAAATATAACTGATTTCTCAATGAACAGGTTTGGTGTCTGCATGTTCATCCTTCAAGAAAATCACACAAATGAAGTGACTCCTAGCCTAAAAGTTATGTTATAATCACTCTCAAACCTTCGTTGACACAATGGTGTTTGTTGTAAAACAACTTTATGAAAATGAAGATCTCAATATTTAAGAGTTGAATCCAAAAGGATACAAAGTTATGGGGGCTA